CAAGGCAGGAGGCATCACAATCCCTGACTTGAAGTTATACTACAAAGCAACAGTAGTAAAATCAACCTGGTACTGGAATCAAAACAGAGCCAAAGATCAATGGAATAGATTAGAAGATATAACCACAACTACAAACACACTCTACCACCTTATCTTTGATAAAGGAGCCAAGCTGGTTCACTGGAAGAACGACAGTCTCTTTAATAAATGGTGCTGGAAAAACTGGCTCTCCAGTTGCCGAAAACTAAAGCTAGACCCATGTCTATCACCATGTACTAAATTAAAATCTAAATGGGTCAAAGATCTGAATATTAAAACAGAAACACTAAATCTATTGGAAGACAAATTGGGTAGAAACCTTGAGGACATAGGGGTAGATAGAGAATTCATGAACAGGACTCAAACTGCACAGGAAATACTTCCCAGAATCAATAACTGGGACCACTTCTTATTAAAAAGTTTCTGCATGTCAAAAGAAATCTCCAGCATAGTGAAAAGAAAACCCACAAATTGGGAAAAGATTTTAGTGAACTCTCTCTCAGACAAGGGACTCTTGTCTAAAACATAAAGAATTAAAAAAACTCAGACCCTCAAAATTCAAAGATCCAATCCAAAAATGGGAATCTGAGATGAATACGCACTTCTCAGATGAAGAAATACAAATGGCAAATAAATACATGAAAAAATGTTCATCATCATTGGTCATTAGAGAAATGCAAATTAAAACCACACTGAGATACCATTTCACTCCTGGAAGAATGGCCAGGATCAAGAAAACCAACAACAACAAATGCTGGAGAGGCTGTGGGGAAAAAGGAACTCTCCTGCACTGTTGTTGGGAGTGTAGACTGGTACAACCTTTGTGGAGGTCAGTCTGGAAATTTCTCATAAAGCTGGGGTTAGAAGTCCCATTTATTTCAGCTATAACACTTCTAGGCATCTTCCCAGAAGAACTGAAAGCATCATACCACAGTGATATATGTGCATCTACGTTTATAGCAGCACAATTTGTAATCGCCAGATCTTGGAAACAACCCAAGTGTCCATCAACTGAGGAATGGATAAAAAAGCTGTGGTATTTCTATACAATGGAGTATTACTCAGCTATAAAGGAGGATCACATTGAGATATTTATCAATAAATGGGTGCAGCTTGAGACCATGCTCATAAGTGAAATGAATCAATCTCGCATGTGTGAATACCGAATAGTTTCCCTAATGTAGGTAATAATTCAAATATATAAAAATATGTGGTAATCATAATTCCCCATTATGTGGCCTTGAAGCCTTATAAAGTTTTCACTTATTAATTGGAAAGGCTTTATTCTGGGCTTCTTGATATGGAAATATTTGAAGCTATAGTATATGAAATTATATTCAAATATTTCAAGGAAAAAGACAGACACTATGGTAACTACTATTAAGTCGGGTTATTTGGTGGTGAAGCACTAGGTTGCTGAAACAGTCATGCTTTGACCTGTAGTATTATGTTGTTATGTCCTGTTTTATCTCAATCTCTGCCTTATTCATTAAAAAATTTATTTATTTATTTTTATGGTTTTTTTAATTAAGGGGAAAAATTTTAAAAATTAGCAGGATATATTATAGTAACTCTTTTTGATTTCCTATTAACTTGTTTTGAAATCCTGTAGTGCTCCCACTATCTTGTTTTGACTGATTAGACTCTGTTCTATTCTGTATGATAGTATCAAGTTTGAGAGTATAGGCAACTACTTTGAAGGCAATAAGATTCACTAAATGCCCATTCTGGTTTGACTATTATCTCCTTTGGAAGTCCTGTAATGTTTACAATGTTTAAGTTTTATTGGTCTTGTTCTCTACTGTTTTGTTCAATTTTATAATACGTAATGACATAGATAATTCTTTTTAAGGAAACAAGAGGCATTATGGTGACCATTGTTGATAACCTTGTACTCTGTTTTTATATCATGTGCTATGTCTATCCTTGGTTTTGACGGACAGCTTTGTTTTGCCATATTTGACTTTATTCTCTTCCAAAAAATGTAATAAGAACTAAAGAATAATAAAACCCAAAATGTGTAAATTTTGTTGTAAAAAAAGAGGGGGAAAAGTCCTCTAAAGGATACAACTGCAAGTGTGTTTAGGGGTGTTAAATAGCTGATATATTAATGTTTTTGGTTGGATCATTGAACACAACTGTTTCAGTCTCTCTGTTTGAATGTTCACTTTGTACGCTTTGATACTGTGACTTGAGCAACTATCTCTAAGATGATAATGTATAATCTATTAACTGGTGATTTCTTACTGTTTTGTTTTTGTAGTTCTGTATTATTTGTACTCTTACACTGCTTTGTTTTGTTTTGTTTTTTCTCTTTTTCCTTTTAAATAAAATTTTTTTAAAAAGAACACAGAGGGACCACAGAGGCTGACAGGAAAAAAAAAAGAAACTTCATTGGCTACAATGTAGAACAACTGTTAAGATTTCACATTGTGCCTTGGGAACTCTAGACCTTGTAACTGACCCTAGATGATCTAACCTGCCCTTAGTCCCAGTGTTTCCCATGAAACAAAACTAAAATGTGTATGTCAGCAAAGGTCTGAAAACGAGGATGAAGACAGATGTCCACTTTCAAAACTTTCCTCTTGTAGAAACTGAGAGTCCAGGAGAAATCTCTATACGTGGTACTGTGGCAGACAGTGGGATTGATAGTGTGGTCAAAGGGAACCATTCTTATAATTTCACGACAGCTTCTCTTAATTCTAATTGTTAAGCTGGTCTGAGGTTATGCCTCAGCCTTAGTCCTCAATTCTGGGATATTCACAATGATATTCTTCCCTGTCGGTAGTTGTTGCTCTTCTATGGATAGGGATCAAAGCTGGAGAATTCCCTTCTACCATCTTGCTAACATCACTCTTCCTCTTATATTTTACTATCAGCAACTAGAAGAAATAAAAGCTCCACTTTGCACAAAACACTAGAATACAAATATAAGACAACCAAGATCCTTGCTATTTTATAACAAGGACCAATTTTTTTTCTACAGTCCAAAAGTGTGTTCCATATTTGCACTGAACCTCATCAGAAGAGCTTTTACTGTCCACATTTTTACCAACATTCTATTCATGGTCACTTAGATATTCTCTAACAAGACAGATGCCTTCCTCTTTTTTTTCTGACCTCTCATCAAGATCATCTTTAATATTCCATTCACAATAATCTAGATTTTTTCTGGCATGTACCTCAAAACACTTTCAGGCCTTAATTAATTACTTAGTTCAAAAGCCATTTGTACTTTTTAGGTGTTCGTTACAGCAGTAATTTTGCTTCTTGGTACCAATTCTTGTTTTACTCAGTTTGGGCTGCTATTTTTAAAATGCCACAATTGTCCCATGCATATTGTCAGATTATAGTACAAAGAAACTAGAAATCAATTGCAAAAGATGGCACAGAAACTATGTAAACATATGTAAATTAAGTAACATTATCTTTAATACTCAATGAGTCACAGACAAAACTAAAGAGGAATCTAACCCTACAATCAAATGATTGTTCCAGTATATTGTACTGGAACTGATGGGACACAATGAAAGCATTCCTAAGAATTAGGTTTATAGCAGTAAACTTCCACATCACAAAAAATGTCAAGCTCAAGTAAATTAATTATGTACCTCAAGGTCCTAGAAAAACAAGATCCATAGAATCCCAAAGCTAGTACAAGAAAGGAAATTATAAAGATCAGAGCAGAAATTAAAAAATAAAAAGAATCAATGAAGTGAAGAGTTGATTATTTGAAAGATTAAGCAAAATACACAAATCTTTAGGCAATATTATCAATATAAGGAAGAAATGACTCAAATCCATGCAATTAGAAATGAAAAAGTTGACAACACAAGGAATTCAACTAAAATAGAAAGATTATCAGTAACCACTTTGGGAACTTGCACTCTAATAAAAAAGAAAATTTAGAAGAAACCAAAAAATTCCTAGATACATATGAACACCAAAGCTAAACAAAGAAAATATAAAAGCCCTGAATAACTCAATATCAGTCAATGAAACTGAAGAAGTAATAAAAAAGCCTACATACCAAGTAAAGCACAAATCTCCATGAATTCACTGTCAAATTCCATAAGAATTTTAGAGAAGATCTAACACCAACAATTTTCAAGCTCTTTAATAAAATTGAAAAAGAAGTAGTACTATCAAAATCATTCCTAGAAATAAGCATTACCCTGATTCCAAAACCATAAAAAGACACAACCCAAAAAAAGAACTCCAGGCCAATCTCTTTAATGAACAAAGATGCAAAAATTATCAATAAAATATCACCAAACAGAATGTAACAAATCATCAAAAGGTCATATGCCATGACCAAATAGGATTCAGAAATGGTTCAGCATACACAAATCAATAATGTAATAAGCCATATAAACAGAAGCAAAAAGAAAAATCACATGATCATCTCAGTAGATGCAAAAAAGCATTTGAAAAAATCCAACATCCACTCATGATTTTAAAAAAATAACCTGAAGAAATTAGGTTACAGAAGATCTTATCTCAATTTGATAAAAGCTACCTACAGAAAATCATTTGACAACATCATAATACATGGAAAGAAGTTGAAATTTTTCCCTTTAAAATCAGGAACAGGATAAGGATGTCCACTGTCACCACTCTTGTTTAATATAGTTCTCAAAAGATGAGCTAAAGCAATAAAAAAAAGAAATAGAAGTGGTATATGGATAGGAAATAAATTTAAATTATCACAATTGCAGATGAGAAGGTTCTCTACACAGAAGACCCCTAAAACCCTAATAAACAAATCCTAGCACTAATAACCAAACTTGGTATCATAGCAAGATATGAAGTCATTACTCAAAAATAAAGTGTTCATTTTCACTAATAATGCTGACAAGGCTAGGGGAGAAAAAGAACCCTTCTCCACTGTTGGTAGGAGTACAGAGTGGTACAGCTACTATGGAACTAAGTGTGGCGGTTCCTCAGGAAACTAAAACTAGATGCTTTCTTTGGCAGCACATATACTAAAATTGGAACCATACAGAGAAGATTAGCATGGCCCCTACACAATAATGATACACAAACTCATGAAGACTTCCATATTTTTGTGCAACCACTGTGGAAGGCAGTGTGGAGTTTCCTAAAAACCTAGAGCTAGATCTTATATTTAACACAATTGTTACCCTTCTTAATATCTTCCCAAAAGAATTAGTAATATGTACACACGTTTATAGCAGCATAATTTGTAATAGTCAAGTCTTAGAAACAGCCCAAATGCCCATCAACTGATGAATGGATAAAAAAAGATGTGGGTTTTTAATATAATGGAGTACTACTCAGCTATAAAGAAGGACACGTTTGAAACAATTCTACCTAAATGGATGCATGTTGAGACCATACTCTTAAGTGAAATAAACCTACACATCTGAGTAAATTGTTTGTCTGAGAAACCAAAGGTGTAAATAAGGTCCAAAATGTATAATAGGTATTTTGAAGTAAAAAAAAGTTCAAATGGAGAGAGGAACAACATCAGGGGATGGGGAAAGGAAAGAGGGAAAAAGTAAAAAAAATGAGAAAAGTAATAAAAAATAGAAACAAAGCTTTTGTAAATGAGGAAGGGAGGGGGCTTGAAGGGAGAGTAAGGGAATGAGAAAAAGGAATCAAATTATATCATGTATAGGGAGAAATGCTCTATGATGAATGTGGTCATTATATATATACCTAAAATGCACCAATAAAAATTAATTTAAAAATATAAAACTAGAACTTTCATTTGCCCCAGCTATTCCCCTTATAGGTATCTTCTCAAAAAAGTTAAAAACAATGTACCACCACAGTGATGTATGCATACACATTTTTATAACCACGCAATTTATAGTAGCTACATTTTAGAAACAGGCTATATGTGATCAATAGAAGAATGGATAAAGATAATGTGGAATTTAGGCACAAAGAAATACTACTCTGCCACAAAGAAGATTAAAGTTGAGTCTTTTTTAGGAAAATGGGCACATCTTGAGACCATAATGTTAAGTGATATAAATCAGATACACAAGCTTAAATATTGCATAGTTTCTCTTATATAAGAAACTCAATAAAGTGCAAAGAAAAGACAGACAACAGGAAAAAAGAGAGAAAAAGCTATTGTAATCCAGCATGGACAATGTATGTAAATATGTTCCTTAATTTAGTGTAATTATCTCATTTTAATTATTTAGTGTAATTGTGTTTTTATGTTTTTTGGCCTGTTAGTCTAAGCTAATCTGTGTACGTGACAGTTAAGTTTATAAAGACTTAGAAACAAATGAATCTGATCCTGGGGCCGTGTAGGGGAAGAGGAAAAAATGAATTGATGTAAACATTATATACCATAAACATGCTAATAAAATAATTTTAAAAATACCACAGACTGGGTGGCTTAAACAATAAACATTTACTTTTCACACGTCTAGAAGCTGAGAAGTCCAAAATCAAGGCACCAGAAGATTGGGTTTTTGGTGAAGACCAACTTCCTAGCTCATAGATATCCATCTCCTTGTATCCTCATATGGCAAGAAAAAGAGTGAGGGAAGACTTTGGAGTCCCTTTTTAAAAAAGACACTAATATCCTTCATGAAGTCTTCACTTCCATGGCCTAAACACTCCTCAAAGGTCCTCACCTCCTATTACCAAGTTACTGATGGCTAGGATTTTGCCTTATGAATTGGAGGAGGGACTCAAACTTCCAGTTTGTGGACTATGTGTGAATGTATTTCCCTAACTATGCTGGAGATGATCAGAATCAAACAGAAGCATGCAATGACCACATGCTGAAAGCTTTTTTTAAAATTTATTGTAATTTTATTTTGAAAGTGGTAAAATACAACAGAACAAGACAGAATAAAGCCAATTAAGATTGTACAGTGAAATTGGTACAGAACTTCACAGTAGGTTGCCGGGATAACAGTAATAGGTATCATGTATATTTTGTTATCTTTATAATAGTTGTTCTTTCAATGGTGTATATCAAAATGAGATGAGATACAGAACATTATAGAACTTATCAAAACAGAATATTGAATAGAGCAGTACCATTAATCAGAATAGAGCAAAACAGTAATAAAAATATTTGCCTTCAAAGAGGTGGGAAAAGGAAGTCCCCCTTATTTGATATGGTCAGCCTCCCAGGAGATGCTCAGATTTCTGGTTCCCATTTGCTAACGGGGGGGAGGGGGCAAGAGGGGGGTAGAGGAAGTGGGATGTTTGACTCTAGGTGGTGCATCAGGAGGTTCACTATTGCTTAGCAGGGAGGCAGGCTGGTGGTTTTATAGCGTCCTAAGTTCCAACATGGCACGGATCTCAGGAGCTGCTGCTGGTTCTCCCCCTGGAAGGGCTGTAATCTGCCACACCACCACAACTTACCAGGGAGGGGAGGTACTTGCTTGGCTTCCCAGTGTCCTAAGATCCAACATGGCACAGATCTCAGAAGCTGTTGCTGGTTCTCCCCCTGGAAGGGCTGCAGTCTGCCAGATCACCACTGCTTCACATGCTGAAAGCTTTAAGCCAATTTGACTTTCTTAGCATTCAGAAATTGTTGGCTTGTGTATATGTTATTGTTTAGAGTCTGTCTTCAAAATTGATTTTTAAAAATTGGTGTCAACAAATGAAGAAGTTTGTGATGACATATTCTGGTAGTTTCCTAGGGCTGCTCTAAGTTCCCCAAACTTTATGGCTTCAAAAACAGACTTTTATTCTTTCACATTTCTGGATGCCATAAGTCGGAAAGCAGGTGTCAGAAGACCTATCATTTCTCTGAAGGATTTAGGGAAGGAACATTTTTGCCTCTGTTTAGCTTCTGGTGGCTGCTGACAATCTGCAGCACTCTTTAGTTTCCAGACACATCACTCCGATCTCCCCTTCCATGATCACATAGTGCTCTCCCATTTCTACTTATTCTGCATCACAAGTTCTCGTCTTTATTTGTGTCTGCATTCAAATTTCCCTCTTCTTTCAGGACACCAGTGTTTGGATCAGGACCCACTCTAATATACTAGGACTGCATCTTAATTCAGTTCATAACATGAATCACCCTCTGGTGATTATAAGCAAATCTTGGCATTCTTTGGCTTGCAGATGCATTAGCCCAATCTGTACCCTCACTGTCACATGCTTTGCAGTCTCTCTTGTGTCTATGTGCTCTGTTCTCACACCAGGTGTTCTTTCTATAGGTTCTTGTGTCCATTTTTCCTTCTTTGTTATGATACCAGTCATTGTATTAGGGCCTACTCTAACCCAGCATGACCTCATTTTAACAAGATTACATCTGTAAAGAACTTATTTCCAAATAAATTCACATTCTAGGAATTGAACATATTTAATATGGGGCACACAATTCAGTTCACTATACATACCTACCTGTCGATGTCCGCTCCCGGCCGGCAGGAAGGACACACGACAAAGCCTGGCAGTGGACAACCTTTTCTTTTATTTTCCTTCTCCGTACAGCCTGCCCTGGGATCGCTCCCAGCCGAAGCCTCCTCTGGTCCGCTCCCCGCGGCTCCTTCTGGGATTCTACTTCCGGGCTTCTTCTTCCCCCCCAGGGGTGGCACCAGTATATATACGGATACAGTGTCCATTCATGTTAAAGTGAGCAAGGCAAGCTGATTGGCTAACATCATCAGTTGCCAGGCAGACTATATTGTTGAGCGGGTTGCTTACGCGGTGAGCAGGAAACTAACGTGCTCGATGGGAGGGGTAATCTACCTCAGGCTTTACTCTTTACTACAGGCCTCACGTCCGCCAAGTGAGGCGACCGGGCTCGGGGCTGCGGCTCCCAACATCTCCCCCTTTTTTATTTTTTTTTTATAAATGTGCGCATCGTAGCCCTTCCTGGACTGGGTGCAGAGGCTTATGCCCTATGCGTAGGCCCACCGTAGGTCCTTGGCTTAGACCCTGGTCGGCCGTCCCATGGTCTGCCAAGGCCCTGAGGCCCTCGTCCTTTTTCTAGGGCCAGGCACAAACTGGACGGAACCTGGATGCACACAAGCTTGCACTCATTTTCTCTCCGTAAAGAAATCCCCTCGGAGAGAAATTTAGACCTGGGCAGCATCTAACAGTCCAGCGGCTTACGTGCAGGATGGGGTAGGGCCTGGCTTAGGTTGAGTCGCACCGGGGGAGTACGCTCTTATCCGTCATTGACTCTCCTACCCAGCTATGTCATAATTTTTTTAGAGGAGGAGTGTGGGAAGCTCACCACCCCTAGACTCGGTCGTAGGCTAGGCGAGCGAGCCATGCATATGCCTGAGGATCTTCTTGTCCATTTCGGGCTACCGCTATTTCTATTCATCTTGTTGGTTGGTCTGTGATGGATCTCTGGTAGGGCAGGTCTGATCTTCAGTCGAGGGCTTTGTCGCCCGTGTCAGTCTCTCCGGTACCCACAGTGGTTCTCGTCCCGATTCCTGTGGGAAAACACAAACCGCGCCTCGGTTCCAGCTGACCACTGGATCCGGGCCCATCCATTGTCCTGTCAGGACATCTTTCCACTTCACCCACCCTTTATGGTTGGGGGAAGGGTTGTAGTGCTCTACGGCTGGGGAGCAATTATCATTATTTAAATTTAAAAAATTGTGTGTGAATAGTGCCATGGATAATCGTGCCTTTGGGGCCAGGCCTTGGCCTACTCCCCCTTTTTGTTTTTGTAAAATTTCTTTGAGGCTTCTATGAGCCCTCTCAATGATTCCTTGACCTTGGGGATTGTATGGGATACCATGTTTTAATTGAACCTCCATCATTTTGCAGAACTCATTGAAGGCTTTGCCTATATAGGCTGGTCCATTATCAGTTTTTAATATTTTTGGTTTGCCCCATGCGGCCCAAGCCGCCAGGCAATGATTGATCACATTAGACACTTTTTCACCTGTTTCTGCTGTTGCAAATATGACGCGAGAACAGGTGTCTGTGGAAACATGAACATATTTAAGAGTCCCAAACTCCTGTATATGTGTGATGTCCATCTGCCAAACATCACCAGGGATCAAACCTCGAGGGTTTACTCCCATCGGTATGGCAGGTTTGTATGTGGCACAGGAGTCACATAGTTGCACGATATCTCATGCATCTGCTCTGGAA